TTAATTCATCATGTACATATTACATTGCTTTTAATGTGGACAACACATCTGGTTTATTCTTGAATTCTGATGTCCAGGACATTTTAATAGTTCTGTCATCTAAAAATATGTTTTTCTAAAAAAAAAAAATAAATAAAGAGAGAGAGAAAGAAAGAGAGAGAGAGAGAGAGAGAGAGAGAGAGAGAGAGAGAGAGAGAGAGAGAAAGAGAGAGAGAAACTAAGAAGTTTCTTTATATTCCTAGTATAATACAGGTAAAGATTAGAGAAAAAAATCAATCTGTTTTTTGTTTTAATGAATTTCCCTAAACTTATAAACACTATGGTTATTATTGCCCACACCACAGTCCCTATGAAAAAACCTTTAACCAAAAGGATTAATTAATCGTATTATTACTAGGCAAAAGTTAAAACTTACTGGTATGAAAAAATTAAAATATGTATGGATATATGTAAAGAAAAACTGGAGGATATTATTGGTGGAGGATCTACAAATTATATTTTGAAAAATACCAATTTAAATAAAAATTCATAAGTACTGTGTTAAGGAACACTTCATTTTGTACTTATATGATGTGTTCCTTAATAAATGTTAATAAATGTTCAGAAGCTAACAAAAATAATTCAGCCAGAGAACAGAAAACTGCCTCATTTTATAACATAAGTAAATTTACAGAGAAGGAAATATACAAAGGTTGATAGAAAATTCATCATTTGATCTCCCAAAAATATTCTTAAACTATAAAATAAATTGTTAAATAAATAACATCTACTAAGGTATCCATGCATTTACAAATGGCAATGCAGCTTCTTAACTCAAATAATTCATATGTATGTATTTCTATCTTAATCTGGGAGGGTTGGATAAAACAAGAAACATGATACAGAAACTTGAAAAATAAATTATCAACTAACGTTAGAAGCTGGATAACAATTGGCAGTCATAGCCATTCACTGGCTATGCTTTTAAAAAAAAAAATACATATATATACACACACTCACACACACACACACAAGCAAGGCTTTCAAATCATTGAGAATTAAATATTTTATATATGCACTTGTGCCATACTCAAGCAATATCAGTCATATTTTGAATAGTAAAAATACAAAGAGCTGAACAGTAAATAACCAAGATAAATTGTAAGCAAATGTATGAAATCTTGGCCTACCAGCATCTATATTTTGCAGACCAATTTTGTGAGTGGTTGCTGAGTTATGAACCCTCCATTTAATTCAAATATTTAAATAGGTACAAAGCATTTATAAAATGTTGCAGAAATGGCAATGCATTGAAATATCTCTACCACATAAGAAATTGATCAGTCCGTGGTATAGATTCTGCTTCACAATCTGTGTTAAACGTGCCATATTTTATTTGCCTCTTTCTCTCAACTAATATTTCGTTATATGCCAGGCACTGAATCATTATTTCCTAGCTAATTAACTTTAAGGTTACAGTTTAGAACTGAATTCCCCTTGAAGAATATTGCCCAATAGTCAAAGACCAGATTGGAAGTCATCTCATCTAGCAGGCTCTCCTATCTCCAAAAGAGATTCTCCTTCCTTTTGTCCCTATCACACCAGCAAAACTCTCTCTGAATCACCATGACTGAGCCAGGCAATGGGAATGGAGTTTCCAGTTAAAAGAAAGAGTTTGTTTCTAATGTGTTAGTTGAAAGTCATACATGGACTCAAGCATTTTTCGTGCAATGCACTTTTTAACAACATGGTGAAGCCTAGAAACCTCTTTCAAAGACTAATATTTTTTAAAACAAAGTAAAATACTTAAAATATATGATTTTTGTTCATATGTTAAAATATAAGCTTTACCATAATTTTGAACCATAAAAAATATTTGGAGAATAACATAAAAAGAAATGTGCAATCAAGGCATAAAAAGAGATGAAGGAAGTGCATATTAGTAATAGAAGCCAATCTGAAATGGCTACCTACTGAAAGACTCCAATATATGGCATTCTCCAAAAACCAAAAGTATGGAAACAGTGGGAAAATCAGTGGTTGTCGGGGTTCAAAGGAGGGAGGAATGAACAGACAGAGCAAAGGGGATTCTTAGGTGAATAAGACTATACGTTGTAGTATTATACTGGTGGATACATGTCACTACATATTTGTCAAAACCCACAGAATATAAACCAAGAGTGAATCCAAATGTTAACTGGAACTCAGAGGCTAACTAGGTAAATAAATATTTAAATTAAAAAATACTATATGATCTATAAATGCAAAAGAAGTAGGTATAAATACAAAAATTTAAATCTTACCATAAAAACACTAATTAGGGAGTTCAATCAGAATTCAAAGGCAAATGTAGATCAAAGTTATGAAATAATAGTTTTCTAGAATTAATTGCTAGACAATGACATTCTTTATGTTATATAATATGTTCTTATTATAAAAGAAAATTATAGATAGGAAAAAATACAGCTTCCAATGTCTGAAGCATTCTGACTAGGGTAATGTGAAATATACATTAATACAAAGGAGATCTGACATAACAGATGGCCTATCAAAATGAGTCATACTGGTTACTCCAAGTGAAGTGCTATAAGGAACAGAACTTCCAGACTCTTTCTTCAAATTTAACTTAATTCCCACAACATTCAGAGCACTTCAATAAATCATTGTCTTCATTAATTAAATCAATCCTACCGATCAACAATCACTACAAAAATCTTCCTCTCTATCAAAAATGACTAATTAAGGTATTAGAAGAAAGATTATTCAAAGTACTCTATATTATCTGCTTACCATCATTCTTTATTTAAGAAGAAGGGGAAGATGGATCTTTACATCAAGTTTAACTAATACGATCATTTCTGAAGAATAAGATAAAATGGCAGTCTCTTCAGACACATCAACCAAAGAAATAAGATCTAAACGGACTATAAATTTATGAAGACTATTTCAGCTCTGAAAGCAAGAGAACAATTTTATTTATGAACAAAATATTTTAAAAATTAATTCCACTGGAGTAGAATTCTGCCACTGGAAGTATTAAACCAATTCCTAACAATGAAAATTGGTAATTAAAGGGAAAGATTTAAGCATTTAATCTCTGCCTTTTACATATAGGATAACTGTGGTTCGTTACTGGTTGGTGAAAGAGGGAAAAAATGATAGAAGAATAGCAGATAATCAATGCAGAAAACACAATATAATCAGAAAAACCACCATTATAATATAGCCTTCAATGTAACAAAACTATTAAGTAAAAAGTTGTTTCAGAAATGAGGCCAAAAAACACTACAGACTACGTGCTAATCGCCACAAGAGAAACCTCTCTCCAATATGCAGACATTTGATGGGTCACTAACTTTCTCTATGTGATCAAACACAGTTACCATAAATTGCAAGACAACCTGATATTACTAGTATATGTCTCTTGTTGGGACGGAATGATGTAAACAGTAATACTTATGATGTTTAAAAAAAAAAAAATCCTTAGCCTGAATGTTACTTAAAAGCCTCTTTAGGTAATAAGGAAAACATTATTATAATGAAAAAAATATGACAAGTACAGAATTTGCATAAGATAACTGGTCTGGGCACTACAAAAAAGAAAAGGTGGAAGTTATAAGTTGGATTAAAAGGACCCAAAGAGACATGACAAAATGCAAGAAGTGAAATTTAATTAGAACTTAGTTTGAAGTAGCTGGAGAATACACTTTTTTAAAAAATATATATATTTAAATATATATATATTTTTTAATTAAAAAAAAAATATATATATATTACTGATTTTACATAGAGAGGAATTGAGAAAGACAGAGAGTTAGAAACGTCGATGAGAGAGAAATTTCAACCAGCTGCCTCTTGCATACCCCCTACTGGGGATGTGCGGGCAACCAAGGTACATACCCTTGATCGGAATCGAACCCGGGACTTTTCAGTCCCCAGGCCGACGCTCTATCCACTGAGCCAAATCCGTCCCAGCTGGAGAATACACTTTTGAGACCACTGGGGATTTTTTTTTTTTTTAATTATCACCCAATGATATGTTTATTGTTTTTAGATTGGGAAAGGGAGAGGGGAAGAGAGAGAAAAAAGAAAAGAGAGGGAAACAGAGAGAGACAGAGACAGAGAAAGAAAAATCAATGTGAGAGAGAAACATGCACTGGTTGCATCCCAAATAAGCCCCTACTGGGGGAACCTCAACCTTTTGGTATGTGAGATGACACTCCAATCAACTGAGCTACCCAGACAGGGGAATTTTAAATTTGGCTTGGATAGAAGATAACATAGTATGTTAGTTTTCTGAACTAATATGTAATTTTTGGTTATATAGAAAGGGGTCTTTATTCTTAGAAAATGTATAGTTCGTTTATGATGAGTGAAATTTATAATATGTAGAACTTACATTCAAATGGTTCAGCAAAATACACATACATATATATAATTAAATTAAAATATGAACACCTGTTTAATCAAGGTTGTGATATGTGGGTCATTATTATACTAACATTTACATATGTTCTTATGTTTGAAATTTTTTTATAATAAAAAGTTGGGGGGAAAACAAAAGACAATAGAGCATTCCACATTGCTTTAACATCACTCCTTACCACATGCTTTTAAGAACCAGAAAAACAAAAGCACCACAAAAAAACGGGGGGAAATATAAGTAAACTAGTTTATAAAATGTGACAATGAAATGACACTTGAAGTTACAAAGAAAATTCCATTCACATACATTAATATGTTGATTGAAATACTGAAGTTCTTGGCTTAATTGTAATTGCAACTCAACAACACTGTTTACCGACTGCTGCTTTCACCACATTATTGTGAGTAAAGTTAATGTTTACAGGGTTTCTAAATTTTATAATAAATTCATTCATTCAATAACCAGTTACTGAAACTACTTGCTTTTGTTATGTACACTGGCACACTGAAGAAAAACGAGATTCGTGTTTCAGATATTCCATTTCTAAAAAAATCAATTGGAAAGCCCAGGATATAAATGGGGAAAACAAACATACCACTTATGTTAAAAGCCATACAGCACACTGGCTTTTCATGAGCCGGGAAGTGGGCCACGATGCCGTCACTGTCAGAATCCTCGCTCAGAAGCACCTTTACAAAAATAAAAAGGCAAATGGAAGTTAACCTTTAATCACTAATTACTGAGTTTGAAGATATACACAGTCATACCACAATGTCTGTGACCAAATATCATGCTTCTATTTTATTATAAAATTATTCTTGCCACTAAAAAGTGAAAATACCCTTCAGGAATGAGGAAGTGATATAATAAGACCCCAGCAGATCAATTATATAAACTCTAAACAGTTAGTTAACTTGACTATAGGTGATAGAGACAATCATTTCTTGAAGTGTAGGTTCACAAAACAACAGCAGCAGCAAATAAAATCAAATCAGCTATGTAGAGCTTTATCCAATGGCAGGAACATATAGCTCTTATTGTGTTATGGCCTGCTGAAAAATTCTTGCCCATGATTAGAATAAAACAAGGAAAAACAACATAATAGCTTAAACACAGTGTGGGGGGTTTTTTGTGTGTGTTTTTCCCCCACCCCCCAAAACAATTACTCTTGAAATTTTTAAGTAGAAAAGTACTGGTCTTTTAATCTGTAGTTTTTTAGATAGACACATCACCTCTTTGAAAACATTGCCAAGTCATAAAATCAGTATATTAAAGCAGATAGTTTTAAATCTCAAATTTGTTCCCCTTAATTTTCTTCAGGAGTTTAATAGTTTTAGGTATCATGGTTAGGTCTATGATGGATTTAAGTTCATTTTTGAATATGGTGTAAGGTAAGAGCCCGCCTTCTTTCTTTTGTAGTTAACCATCCAATTTTCCCAGTGTCATTTATTGTGTAGTTTGGGAACCCTTACTGAAAATCTTTTGCACTTATATGTACGGTGTATTTCTGTGCTCTTCTATTCTACATATCTACATATCTATCCTTATGCACGTATTGCTGTACAGTATGTTTTGAAATAACATTCTCTCCATTGCATTAGCACCTTGATGGATTCTCTCCATTGCATTAGCACCTTGACTAAAGTATCAAATCAATAAAACTGGAGATATCCCAATACAATTGTCTTAAAACATTTAATTTTTACTCACCACTTAACTAAATAGGCTGAAGCCCTAAATATATGCAGTAAAGCACATGACTATATTAAAACAAAGTAATGCATTTTAACTGATATAAAGTAAATAAGCCTTTATCATATGAACAAAAAGATACACCAAACACCTAAGGAACCATTAAATTATTATGAATAACACATGTACTCAAGGCACGATAGCTCAAATTTATGTCATCATTTTGGAGAATTTTTTTATTAGAGACTTTGCCACATTGCTAATTCCAATTACATAAATGTATAAATGCAAATTATTGCATTTATCTTATCTTAGGCAAGAAATGCTTTTAAATAAAAATGAAAGTAACACAGATAAAAATGTACATGAAGTCAGCCGGGACCGGTTTGGCTCAATGGATAGAGCGTCGGCTTGGGGACTGAAGGGACCCGGGTTCGATTCCGGTCAAGGGCATGTACCTTTGTTGCGGGCATATCCCCAGTAGGGGGTGTGCAAGAGGCAGCTGATCGATGACTCTCTCTCATCGATGTTTCTAACTCTGTATCTCTCTCCCTTCCTCTCTGTACAAAATCAATAAAATATATTTAAAAAAAAAAAAAAAAAAAAAAAATGTACATGAAGTCAATGAAATTCTTTCTTCATTAATGCAGTTACTACACAATGATCCCAACATCATAAAATCAAACTAATCAATTTAGTATTAGAAAGATGGTGAACAAAAAAAATAAAAATAAAAAAATAAAAAAACTTAAAGCAATTTTGAAATCAAAAAAAAAAAAAAAAGAAAGAAAGATGGTGAATAAAATTTTATATACCACCAATGTAAACATGAAATTATCTTTAATAAAGGCTCAATGGATTTAAAAAGTGAACCTAATGTTACCTTGAGCTCCTATGATGTATATAAAAAAACAGAAATATTAAGGGGAAGGTCAAACATCAGTAGAAAAGGGCTAAAATTGATAAATCTACAACATTAACCACTGCAGTGTTCTTATTTAAACACAATCCAGAATAGCATAAAAACAGCCCTGTACTGCAACTGAACTATTTATCAGAGACAAAAATGTCTTCATGACAAAAAACAGATTCACATTAATAAAAGAAGGGAGGAGGACAGTATTACACTGACAAAATCTTGTTGCTTTAAAAAATATTTATAATTATTTTTAAATGCACATAGCAACTAACCATTTATTGAACATCAATTTATTTCCTATCTTAAAATATTTAAGTCAAGTTAAAATTTTAGAATATTTTATAAATAGGAATGAAAATAAGATTATACTTCAAACAAATAATAGAAAATAGAATGTTTCAGTTGAATGACACTAACCTAAAAGCTGAGTCTTATTTTTTAATAAACAGCTTTAGTTGTTTCAAGTGTTAACAATGAATTTATCACAGAAAAAATAACTTTTGCAAATCAACAATCTACAGTTAGTTTCCATGTTTCAAACCTGAGAATTCCATCTTAAAATTATCAAAAGTTACTGAAGAATGGGAGGAGGAGGGGGAGAGGAGATATGGTGAAAAACATTTGAAAACATATGGCCTATTGTTATGAAATCAGCTTAGTTTTTCTTTTAACATATTCCTACACTTACAAACAATAAAGTAATGACTTACATCTCTATTTCATTAGAGATAATAAGACAAAACATTTCCTATTTATAAATGAGCACAAATCTGTCTGTCAACAAAGGCTGGATATTTAACAGACGTACATTACACTCCCCAAACTAGACAATGCTGAGAAGGGTGGTTACTACTCTCAGTAATTGTGGGTGGCCTTGGAGGTGAATTAATTAAGAATCAAAGACAAAAGAAAATAACTTTTCTTTTAACACTTATGAAACATTAAAAGATTCATATATTTAATCCCAATTTTAAAAGAGAACATCTGTATGTGTCCATCAACTTGAGCCTATCTAACTATCATAAAACAGCTTTTTTTTTTTTAACATGTCATTACAGTCAACTGAAAACTTTGCTAACATTTCATTGAAAAGAGTTTTAAACAAGAATATAAGTCTAGCCCTAACCAGTTTGGCTCAGGAGATAGAGTGTCAACCTGCGGACCAAAAGGCCCCAGGTTCGATCCCAGTCAAGGTACCTTGGTTGTGGGCACAGCCCTAGTACGAGGCATACAGTAGGCAGCCGATCGATGTTTCTTTCTTATCGATGTTTCTAACCCTCTACCCCTCTCCCTTCTTCTCTGTAAAAAATCAATAAAATATATATATATTTTTTTAAAAAGAATATAGTTTATAACATAGTTGGTTAACAACAAAGTTAGGATGGGCAAGGTAGAGAATTATTATTATTCTGATTTCAAGTAAAATACAATAGATAAATTCAATAACCAGAAATTTCAAAAAGATTTTTTTTAATTGCCAATAGGTTCCACTTTCTTAAAATAACAATTGCTCTTACTATAGAAACTAGTACATGAGTAGCTGACAAATGCAATCTTTCACAAATGTTGCTCTACTGTCTCATTTTAGAAATAGGTATTAGATTATATTTTATAGTAATGTTCACAAACTAACAGCATTTTAATATTACTTCCTTTCAGAAATGTATTTCAAATCTAAAACTATGTTGCAAAAGAAGAATTATTTGTAAGTACATGAGGGGAAAAACTAAACCAAATGGGTTTCTTATCAACTAAGCATTTTTCCAGGTTTAAATCATTTCTCCTGTTTCTGAACTTAGATTTTAAAAATCTGATTTAACTGATTTCACAATTAGCTATTATCATGTATGAATTCTAGCATATACTTTGGGGTTTCATGTATTTTCATACTTATAAGGAAATATCTATAATAAAATTTGATAGTATTCACCTGTAACCATCACAGGCGATCTTTTTTTTTTTTAATTACCCCTAAGATCCTGTTGATCTATGAGCAAATATCTGCCTGGGAAACACATGTCCTGATGAAGAGATAGCAAGAGAATCTAATGGAACCTCAATTTTACCTTCAGGTTTAATGGATTTATAAAATTTGAAATAAAAGGTTCTAACATATTCCTCATCATTTTGGAGGGAGGAGTGGGAAGAATCTAATCTAAAATAACGTTGATTTCTAGAAATCCAGATTAACAATCTGATCCCAAAGAACACCTTCATTCAGCCAGCCCTCTGCAGAAAACGGATGACACGCATCGCAAGTTGGTACCTGGCCTTCTCCAACTGTTTCCGTGTCTATTACGGTGATGATGCCTGGGACCAAAGGACTCCGCCTCGAATTACTGTGCATGGCAACATCATCTTCCGTCACACCTGAAGGCAGCGTGCCTGTCAGCTGAGTCACCACTTTCCCAACCATCGTCAGGCCGGTTTTCAAAGTCTGTACAATGAAAGGTAAAAACTTATAAATAACTTCATATCAGTGTATGAATTCTTTGTAGAACTATGCATTTGTTAGTTCTCCTACCCATTACGTTCTTTCTTTTCTTACCAGCCTATAAGTAGCAAGGAACTTCACAGAAATTTAGTCTGACTTTTCATGTGACTGTAAATTCGGCATCAGTTTGAGTGAATGGTATGGGTACAGCCCCAAAGTAATCGTGGTGAGAATAAAGCCATCAGTAAAATAACTAAAAAAGCTTGTTTCACATGGATACAATTATATTTTATAAAAATTACGTTCCCCGCCGAAACCGGTTTGGCTCAGTGGTGGAGCGTCGGTCTGCGGACTGAGGGGTCCCGGGTTCAGTTCCGGTCAGGGGCATGTGCCTTGGTTGCGGGCACATCCCCGGTGGGGAGTGTGCAGGAGGCAGCTGGTCGGTGTTTCTCATCGACGTTTCTAGCTCTCTGTCTCTCTCTCTTCCTCTCTGTAAAAAATCAATAAAATAAATTTTTAAAAAATTACGTTCCCCTCTTCTTAATGTATATAATTTAAGACATGTGACATAGTAAGAAGTAGGATAATATTCTACTTCTTCAGATAGTATAAATTTAAATTTAAAACTATTTTTTAGCATGAAAGTGACTGGGATGATCTGGTAGAATTCCTGTGAAAAAAGATCATGCTTCCAAAGATAATTTATAAGATGCTGTTATATAAGATTGTACATCAGGATCTGACATGTGAAAAATACAGTCTCCATCCAACATACTAATTACTAGATGAATGAAATATCATATAAAATTAGCAAAGGAGATTCTTTTTTCTCTGATAATAGAAAACAATTCAATATAATACTTCGAAAATGCAATTTTAATTAAAAATAACTTAAGCTGCTTTGTAATTACATTTTAGTTCCACTTTTCATTCAAAGTGAATAGACAAAAGTAATGTGTGTGATTATTTTTTATTTTATGGGAATCTGATCTAATTAGTCACATATGCATTAACAAGCAATAAGGGTAAGGTAATGTTTGGGGGCATTGTCTAAAAGGAAGAAAGCTAGAGCATAAAGAAAATTATGTGTTTGATAAACACTGGAAAAATACCTAGTCATTAGAGACTAAATAAATAATCTAGATTAAAGGAAGGGATAGATCAAAAATTACATATAAAACACTCAACCAGAAATATTTTTCCAATTCTCACATTGTGAGAAAAGTTTTTATTAGAATAATTCAGATTAATTTTTAGTCAGGTGACTCTTTTAAAAATCATTGTGGGAAATAAATGTGGATTTAAACCCCAATTAGATTAAGTTTCAAAAGGAAATGTATTTTCCAAAGAAATTTTCCGTTAAAACACCACAGGATTAATACTAGTAATTTATGCATTATTTTACTCTAGTTATGTTCTATGGAACCTTTACTATGAGCGTGGGATTGGTTAAGGCTCTAAACATAAGTGATCTCAATAGATATCCTCAAACAACTCAGTTTAAGAGAAAAATGAGGCTACAGAAATTAAGTACAACACCTAGCCAATGACAAAGCCAGAATTTAAAACTAGGGTTATCTATCTCCAAAGCTTGAATTTAACCACTCTCCAGTATTTCCTTATAAGCTATCCCTGTTACTACTTGTGATCTCACACTTCATGACACACACATATCCTGGGGAGGAGGGAGATAGGAAGACTATAACACTGTATTTTAATAAATACTTAAATAAATGACCACCAAAGCCATTTGCTAAATTCAAACAAAAAGATATAACTTACAGCTGACTGAAACCAGAAAAAAAAAGCCACAAATCAATTGTAACTGTTTTGTTTAGTGCTAAAAACTCAAACTGCAGTGATTATAAAACACAGTAGCGTTCCTCAATTAGCAGCCAAACATTTGTTTCAATAATTCACAAGAAATGACTTACAAAGAGTCTGTTAGGTTGTTGTTAAGAAAGCCTCTGAAGGACCAACAAAATCAGGCGCCACGGAGTATTGATGTCAGAAGCTCGCCAGGAAGCCTTATTAACCTCTGAGATGCTTCCGCTGATGTACTGACTCCATTAATGCTAATGGAGATGCTCCCACTTACACGGAGCTACTACCCCTTTATCAAAGACATGCCTTTCAGGTTTAAAGTCTTCGCTTGTACATCCTCCCCATTTGCCCTTGGGTCTATTTTTTTCATGCTCTTATACCAATGAATAGGAACAAACTAAAACAACTGGAGCACACAGAAAGTGGGAAATAATGTACCAAAGCAAACCACAAGTTAAACAGGAAAGTTCACATAAAAGAATTGGGAAAAAACTCAGGGAAGGGGGGACCAGGGTAGTATATTTCTTAGGCAAGGGCTCATATTACATGAAGAGTTACAGATATTTCTCATAAAAAAATAAAATAAGTAATGACTACCAGTGAGGTCATGTTATTAAAACTGAACGGTCATCAAAACTGCACTTTGTATAGTAAATGACAAGATAGTATTGTCTATCATAGCTTACTAACTTCAACATAATGTCTAGTGCAGGAGATGAGAGAGGGGTGCTTGACGTTTTCTACATTAGTATAGACCTTTGCTTCTAGAAGAAATTTGTTTCTGTGTCACATCGATTAGCAGTAGTGTCCAGAAGCTATATAATGTTATTTAATAATTTTCATATATCATGTTTAGATACCTAAGTCACCACACTGTGTAATTAGGCTTTTCACTAGATTTTAGTAGAAAGGTTAAGTGCATGCCTGATGATTTCCTCAAATACATACAAAAGCTAAGGAAAAAAATTAGGAATTAAAAAAAATTTAACTAGTCCAAATGGATATGTTAATTTAGATAGAGTGTCCTCACAATCTGGGGTATCTAAACTCATAAGTTCACTGTATATTCAAATAATTTTAAGGGTACTCAAAGAACTATCTGTAAAAAAAAACAAAACAAAAGGAACATAAATTTATAATGAATGTGAAATAATCCATTATGACCAAAAATTGGAATCAGCATAGTACTTATTCTGTTCTGTTGCAGACAGATTTGCCAAAGGGTCACTAGGCATCTTTAACCTTTCTTGTGCCATATCAGTTGTCCTCCTCATCCATTAGTGCTAATGGTGCTGCTCTCACAAAACCTGTTAGTTGTCATTAAGAAGTTATCAGATAACGAGAAAATAGAGGCATTTTTATTAAATCAATTTATCATACTGGGGTTAAAACACATTAAAAGGAAAACTCAACTAAGACTATTACAGTGTAACTAGAAATTGTGGGACAAGATTTTATAAAATTATCAAAATAATCCAATTTAAACAATTTCAAAATTGAGTTTTTCCTTTATCATCACCACAGAGAATTCATCACTATTATATTCTTAAGACAAATAAATTTATTTTCAAATTCAAAGGGAAAAATCTAAGACTATAAACTTCAATTTTAAATGCTATTTTGAAAACCCAGAAATTATTTTTTTTTTAAAGAATAAAAAAGGAAAAGGAAAGAAAAGAAAGTATTGCTGCATAGGAGATCCAAATACATATACAATTAATATATTTATACTTATCATTGTACAGTGAAAAAAATAGTAAAAATTAATCCTTCTAAGTTTAAGTATCCTCTATAGATCCAAATCAGAAACTGTCGGAGAAAGAGAAATATTAATCTTTTTGAGAAAGTGATATAATGAAATGATTGTGAATTTATTTTTAAGATAAAACATCTTCTTAAAGAGCATGTACTACATGACTTATAAAATTATTTCTATGTCACATCTCAAAAAATATTATATTACATAGAAATTTAAAAAAACTGGTAAGAAATAAGAAGTTTTATTTTCTTTTTCAATGATAGACTAGGTAAATCAAATTAATCCTCCTCCAAAGAAAACAAGTAGGAAAAATTGGGGTGGGGGGATTTTTTTTTCAACTCTGCTTGAACATATGGAATATTTAATAAGAATGTGAAGAGTTCTTAGGTCAAATTCCAAGAGAACAAGGAAATATTTTAGACCTAGCTGCATTTGATGATTCCTGGGAGGGCTGCTAAGAGACTGAGTGGTGTTTTCAGTAGAATTGGGGAACGAGGTGGCCATGTTCAAGGGATCAGTTGGTTGACCTTCCCGCCATGCTTTGGGTGGGAACCCAAGGGGCACAGAATAGATAGAAGAGGGAATCAATAGTAATCACGTTCTCAGAGCTATTTCAGGTAAACATTATTTAAAACATTTAATTTCAATCCGTAAAATTGGATTAAAATAACCCAAGACTGACAGTGTTGCAAAACTCTGGTACCATCTCAAATTTTAAAGTGTTTCTAAAGATTTTTGAAATAAAGTCTGGCAAACCATGAGTCAAAACATTATAAATAAGGACCAGCTGAAATGAACAAATAAAAATTCACCGAAAACGAAACCAAATATTGGAGTTATCAGAAACATACTTAAAAATAGGGTGTTTAAACAAGTTGATAATTTGGGGGGGAAAAGAGTTCTAGAGAATCAGAAATAATCACTATCCACTAAAATATTTCATCAATGCATATATGTTTTTATGTATATATTGAAATAACCATTCCCTTTTTCCCTCTAAATTGTGTGTGACCTCGGATGAGGGATCATGTTGTAAAATATATAATTGTCTATCTAATATGCACCCAAAACTAATACAAATTCACATGAAATATAAACTGTAATTTTTAAAAAAAATTATGCAATTAAAAATATTTTAAAAGAAATGTGTAAATTTTAAAATAAATTATATTCACAGTTATATTTTTCCTTCATTTCATAAATTTATAAACAATACAAATAAGCATTACAAACAAATGCAATTAACAAAAATTAAATATTACCACTTTATTCAAGTGCTACTGGAAGAATAATATACATTGCCAGAGATGACAATGAATGTCAATTAACACTACTTTCATTGGTGACCAATGATCTATTGGGAATTGACTGGAGGGTGTGATTATCAACGTAATTTCCTATACTAAAACGTGGAAGGCCTGAGTATATTTTTCACAGTTTGCAATATTGGAATGTAACAAGTAGGAAGTTCGAGCCTGTTCTTTTCAAAGCATATTTAGTCTAGTCTCATCCCGGCATGTCCACTTTCAGCTAACAGTTAAACAGCTTACCAGTTACTGAATAAAGGAGGTCACTTTCCTTTTATAAGGCACCCAAAAACATAATTATAGCAAAGAAGAGCTGAAAAAACGTCCTACATCACATAACTGAAAATTATTCTACATGATAACACAATGAGCTATCCTGAGGCAAGTGTATTATAGGTCAGTCTAAAAAGAATCGAATATTTGAGAAATGGATCTCTTGTAAATTAACTGAGTAACACTGATGCTATCTAATTACTCTGTCTGAGACTTAACTTCCTTGAAAGAACCACCATAATTCTGGCATAGACAGTAAAGACAAGTAAGCAATTTTTTAAATAAAGATTCTGACATCTAAAATATAGAGTGCTGTCAGCATAAAAACATGCTAAAACACTTCATGTAAGCACTTGTGATCAATCTTGAAGAATTTTTGTATGTTTCACACAAAAACAGTGTGACCTTTGATTGCCTCCCTGTGGCTTGCTTTAAACTGTTGTTCTCTTCTGAATCGTTGTGCTTTTTATTACATGCTGTCATTTAGAATCACTATATCACCCCCTATTATTAGAATTGTTTTGTTGTATACTTCAGAATTCAAAAGGATAGTGATTATAAAAATACCTTATAATCAGCATAAAGTTTACGAGCCATCGTCAAAATTATCCGGAGCACACAGACAGAAAGAAGTCATGTGACAAACATGCACGGGGCAGCCTGTGACTAAAGGAACCTTAGAATGTGCCAGGGATCTTACTCAGGTTTTCTTAAGGAATACTCCTTTCTTATGCCAACTAAAGATTTCTAAGTGTTAAAAGACGCAAAGGGATGTCAGTATAGGTAGAATAATGCTAAATCATGCATAAAGAATCCAGAAGTCACTACTTAGGACATGTACAGCTTCTTTCAAAAGTGGGATTAATTACATAACAGACTTTACTCTAGCTAACAGACTTAAATATTTAATATTGGATAACTATAAACCCTATAATCATCACAATAGAAAATAGAGTTTTACTTATGAACTTTAAGAAATTAGATACCTAATCACTGAGCCACCAATTCTCATGAGACACGAAATAAGTCTGACTTACTCCTTAAGGTTATTACATTTGTGGATGAAAAGGGAAGAGATAATCTCAATCAAACTCAGTGGAGAAACTTGACAATTACTCCAAATAATCACAACTCCCAGAGACTACTGGATACTCACTTTAGCAGCACTAATGACCGTGGCAGTATAAGACTGAATGTTGTCCCCACAGGCTCCACCACGGGACTGATGACATCGAATCAACTGGAAAAAGAGAGACAGAGAGAAACCAGAAAGTCATTTCTATTAAACTGTTTAACTCTACAGGCTATTAGGACAGAGCTTATTTACCATGCATAATGATGGTGGTGGGTGGAAATGTTTGTACAATTGTATTTCATACAAACAGCCAAAAGCCCTGCTCAGACACTTTTAGCCCTTTTTATAATCTACTGGTGCCATTCAGGCCGTTTCATGCTCAAATGCAATTTTTAATTACAAGATGAATAGTCTTTAAGAATTCATAAACTCTGAAATGGAGGAATTTGGGCTCTGGCAGCCTTTCCACAAATAAAATTTAAAAACATAATCAAAGGACTTAGACATGACTTCCTAACATTAAATATTTAACATGCTAGCAAATTAGAGGTTTTGTCCTCTTAATTCCTACATAAAGATTGTAAAAGGAAACCTAAAAAAATAGACAAAAGATTGTGCCATATTTTCATTTTCAACTGTGTCAGGGTAAAAGTGGCATAATTTATGCATAAATCTACTATGACACATATATTAGCTATCCACTTCAGAGGGCTTACTAGTTCTACATTAGAATGAAAAAGACAGGCCCTTATTCATGTCTGATGTAAACATATTAACCTGCCGATTTTCAGAGTGAATCACTATTTTGACAAACACGATTCTCTCATGCGCAGAGCAATAAACTAGTATTAAATTCTCCACTGCTCCTATATTTCCTAAATTTGGAGAATGGGGGTTATGGGAACATATATATTTATAAATTATCATTAGCCAAATCCTTACTACATTTGTAATGTAAATAACAATGGAGTGTTAGAACGGCTCCATGTTGTGATAGGAATTATTCTCCTTTTTCAATTGCAGGGAGAGAGACAGGACAATTGTTGGGTGTCCAACTAAAACCAAAACCAAATCAAAGAAAACAAACTAAAAAGTTAGAGTCATCATTGGTTGGTAATCACTTTGGAAATTTTGGGAACGAGTGGTCCGTTACCAATGATCCAAGGGCCCTGCCTTACCTTGTTTTCTGCATAAGCCAGCCAGCGGCTCCCAAGAGCAATAGGATTCATGTTAGGCCCTGGACAAGGATAGCAGCCTGGAAAATTTCAAATGGCAATATTTAGAAATTTCTTAATAAATTTTCTGTTGATGTACCATATTTTGATGCCATTAAAACATAACAAATGCTTTTATTTTTCAAGTTTCACATAAAATTACCATAATACTTGTCATTATTCTAATAGCTAAATGAGTTTTTTTTATTTTTTCCTCTACAGTTCCCCTTTGATTTTTTACTTTATTCAAATAAGAAACAAATCTGGTAATCACTATTTGCAAAATATTAAGCATTTTATACAGTTATTACAAGAACAAGAGAGAAAAACTAAGGCAAATCATTTAAAGTTTATAAATCTACAACTTCATAAGTCAAGTAACAAATGTTTGAAGAAGCCAGAGAAAGGATACAGTTGGTTCAGGAATCTAAGGGCAAAAGATAAAGAATACATACACCTAAAAGAAAGATATAATGTACAATTGGGGGGTTGGGGAAGAGAGAGAGAGAGAGAGAGAGAGAGAGAGAGAGAGAGAGAGAGAGAGAGAGAGAGAGAGAGAGAGAACCACTTAAGTATGAGGCCAAAGAGAAGAAATCCACAAAGAAATCCTCATTAGTAAGATGTTGGGGAACTATTTACATAATCTAGTCCAGCCAATAAAAAATGATAAAAAGGATTATTTTGAGGTTCTCTCCTTTCAACAAGAATAAATCACCTATTCCTGACAGTGGATACCATCTATGCATAGAAATACCAATGATCTCTACTAACCAAGACACAAAATTTAGTCAAATATGTGATGTCTGTAACTACCAATCTGTACTTCTCAATCCTTTCACCTTTTTCACCCAATCACCCAACCATTTTCCCCCTCTGAAAACCATTAAGTCTGCACTCTGTATCTATGAGTCTGTTTCAGTTTTTCACAGAAATGCTTCACAGAGACTCGTGGAAAGACTGAAGAATGAAAGAATGCAAAACACCTAACCTAAAGGACTCCTGGTTTATCATTCCAAAAGTGTCTGGTTAATATTTTCACAAATGTTTGCTTCTAAAATGTACACTAGAGAATCATGCTAAGGTTATCTATTTCATAGTTTTATTCTCAATTTGGAATCTAAATTTTTGCAATCAGGAGACAAACAAGATTTTTTTTAAAATAACCTTTCCTTCCCGTGGCAAAAATAAATAAAATATAGTATCAAAAAATAGCCTTTCTAATTTTCAAATTGCACTGCTCACGTACACACTACGTAGCAGAAAGTCCCAGTCTATATTGATCCTAAAAGACATAGAGTAATCAATGCATGACATTTCATTCAAAAGCATACTTCTTAATAAAAAAAATTAATAAATTAAAGCATATTTATTAGGTAATGGCCAAAAAAGTCATCTATATAGAAAACTTTTTCAAATATTCAAATAGTGGTCTCAGCTAAGAGCTAGATATTTTAAAGCCATTTTTGATGGAGATCTTTTTATAAATGTATATTCCATGGTTCCCTGAATTCAGAGAGCCTTGTGAGAAGCACTAGTCACCATTTTGAAAGGTGGGTGTTGCTATGTTCACAAACACTGGAGAAATTCACATTGATTTCCTTCCATTATACCTAGATTTCATTTCACCTCCTTCAACTACCATCTATTTTGAGATTTCATTGTTAAAGAAGATTTAAAAATTTATTTTTGCTATATCTACTACTTAATGTTGATTATGGCTAAATATTATGGGGTGAAAACAAAGGACAAAGGCCCTTAAAATAGTACAAAAGAAAGCACTCTAACAAACAGTATGCATCACTTAGTTAAAAGATTTCATTTATATACTCATACTGAGTAAACTAGTCCTATTCATACAAAAATGAGCTTTTATATATATGCATACATATATTCCACCGGCATTTTTAGAGCTAGAAAAATGAGTATAGGTACAGTGCATAAGAAAGTTTCCCCCTGTTCAATGTCATTAAATAAATAAGAATATTGAATTGTGGCATTACATAAGAGGTAGTTAATCTCCTGAAATTTAAAGTCAACAAAATCTAACTCTCAATTCTAATAACCATTTTGCTTCACTAGATCCTAATAAGTATATATTCTCATTTCTAAAACAAAAGCATACAACGGAAAAGTACAGTTAACAATTCATTTTACTTTTAGAGTCAATGTTTTTATAAACTCAGTGGACCTCAAGAGTTACAGTATTGGGATAAAAGCAAATTGTTTTTCTGCTCTTCAAAAACATTTTACAGCTGGAATCAGCAGAACATCAGCCACTCAGCAGTATCCCAACTTTATAAGCATGACTTCTTTAAAGATTAACTGTTGCCTCCAGCTAAACTTCGAAAACAAGTGAAGAGGGGAAAAAACAACCCACACTAATATTAGCACTAATTCTAACAAGTTTCCAATGTTTGTGAACAAAGTAAAAAAGAACTAGGTATTTAAAAACTTGGGTTTCTGAATTTAAGTAAAGATAAAATTCAAGAAAAGCACAATAAATGAAAATTCTCCCAATACTGGAATAATAAAAAAGGCACAAGACATACAATTTAGAGGGCACCCTCCCAGAAGTGTGATCCTAATGGAGAGTTCACCTGAACCTGTAACACTCTGCCTTATTTTTCTTGGTCAGAATAACTTAAAAGAGTCCAGACCTTTGTGTGGACAGGGAGAACCCAAGGTCTGCATTTATAGTCAAATGATTCTCAACAAAGATACAAAGGCAAGTCAATGAGGAAAAGAATAATTTTTCAACAAATGATGGGTCGCCTGGATATCCACATGCAAAAGAATTAAACTGAACCTTGACCTCACACAGCATACCAAAATTAACTGTAAATGAATCAAAGACATATAAGAACATATATGCATAAATCACAGACACAGACCACAGTGTGGAGATCGCCAGAGGAGAGGGGAGGTGTGGGCTGGGTGGAGGTGGGCAAAAGGGGTGGGGTGGGGATGGAGACATCTGTATTCATGTCAACAATAAAAATATAAGTTAAAAAATGAAAAAGCTAAAAGTATTAACCTCGTGTAACAAAATATAGTGGTAAATCTTCACAACATTAGGTTAGGCAATGTTTTCTTAGACATAAAACCAAAAATAAGCGATAAAAAAATAGATAAGTCGGACTTCATTAAAACTAAAACTTTTGTGCCTCAAAGGACACCACAAAGAAAGAGAAAAGACAAAACTCACAGAATTGGAGTTTTGCAAAAACATGTACCTGAGAACTGACTACATCTAGAATATAAACAGAACTATGTCAATGCAGAAAATACAACTGAATATAAAATTTAACAAAGAAGATAAAAGATGGGAAATGCAAATTAAAAGTAGAATCAAATACCACTTCGTGAGACCCTGATAGAATGGCTATAATCAAAGAACAATAACGATTGTCAGCGAGAATGTGGAGAAATTGGACCCTGAGACACTGCTGGTGGTGATGTAAAATGTTGCAATCACTCTGCCTGGCAGCTCTTCAAATAGAGAAGGATAGAATTACCATATGACCAAGCAATTTGATTCCTAGGTACATACCCAAGAGAAATGAAAATGCATGTTCCCACAAATATTTATATCCAAAAGAAATGAAAAAATACTTCCCCAGAAAAACCTTTTACTAAAAAAAGCATTATTCATAATAGCCCAAAAATGGAAACTTAAAGGTCCATCAATTGATAGACAAAATGTGTTATTACACACAATTATTCAGCAATAAAAAAGAAATTAAGAATAACATTCCATCATCTGAACATAACAGTTTATCTGTCCACTCACCCACTAAAAAACAATTTGGTGGCTTCCACATTATGGCAAGGTGAGTAAAGCTGTTATAAATGCCATGGGCATGTTTTAAGTGGACACAGTTTTCAACTCCTTTAGGTAAATGCCCATTGAAATATAAATGTGTAGTTTTGTGAGAAACTATCAAAATGTCCGTTAGAGTGGTTGTCCTATTTCTAGGAGCAATATATGAGATTTCCTATTGCTCTACATCTTTGACAGCATTTGGTGCTATCAGTAGTTGGCATTTTGGCTTTGCCTAATAATGTGGCATCTCATTGTTGATGTTCTTGTTTTTCTTTAAATATTATTTTATTGATTTTTTTTAAGAGAGAAATGAAGGGAGAGGGATAGTGAGAAACAAAGATCCATGATAGAGAAATGTCGATAGGCTGTCTCCTACATGCCCCCATACTGGGGATTGAGCCTATAACCCACATATGTGCCCCAACCAGGGATCCAACCATTGACCTCCTGGCTCATGGGTTCACGCACAACCACTAAGCCAAACCAGCCAGACTATTTAAATTTAAATTTCACTAATACACTACCATTGAGAGCACATTTTCGTATGCTTATTTGCTATTTGAATATCTTATTTTTCCTATTTTAAGGTCTTTGGCCCATTTTTTAATCAGTTTGTTTTCTTCCTGATGAGTTTTCAGAGTCTCTATATAGTCTGGATAACAGTCCTTTATTAGATGTGTCTCTTACAGATATTTTCTCTCAGCCTGTGGCTGGTCATCTCATTCTATTGGCAATGTATTTTACAGAGCACAAGTTTTTAACTGCAATAAAGTCCACCTTATCAATTACTTATTTCATGAATTGCGCCTTTGATGTTGCATCTAAAAAACCATCGCCATGCTCAAAAGTCATCTAGGTTTTCTCCTCTTATCATCTATACATTTATACTTTTGTGAGTTGCATTTATAATTAATTTAGTTAATTTTTGCAAAGGATGTAAGATCTATATCTGGATTCAGTTTTTGGCATATGAATGTCCACTTGTTGCAGCACCTTTTGTTTATTTGCTTATTTGTTAAAGATCTATGTCTGTACTCTCGATCTGTCCCACTGATACATCTGTCTATTTTTTTGCCAATGTCAACACTAAAAGTGAACTCTAAAACAAACTTTTGCCATTATATGTTTTATGGGTTGAATAAATGTATACTGACATATAACCATCATTGTAATATGATAAGAGTATTTTCACTGCCCTACAAATCATCTGTGCCTATTTATCATCTCTGCCCTCTCCATTACCCTAGAAACCACTGATCTTTTAATTATCTCCATATCTTTGCCCTTACACATCAATAGACTTTTCCTGAAAGCATAGGTAAAATTTTATGTTACTTTTCTTAACATTATCTCATAAGCATTTTACATATTGCCATGAAAGTATCATGAAAATATTTGTATATGCTAATTTAAAAAAAGAAACATCATGAGTTGAAGAGTACTGCTAAACAGGTGGGAATAATGTGCAGAGAATAAGAAAGTCTTAAGTGATTTCATTGAACATATTTGCTGAGTGTCAGTCCAGTCCACTGTATATAAATGAGAAACCAAAAGAAGAAATATAGATTTGACTTTTACCTTGAGTTGGACTAAGTTCTCACATTAACATTCCAAACCTTTCTTAGAAAAAAAAAAAAGCTATTTCAAAAATTAAGATCCTTTAAATTCATTCCTTACATTTCTTATTCAACATATATGAAGAACACATGCTAATATTAAGAAATAACATTAGGACTATAAGGAATACATGTTCCTCCTTCAAGTGAAATGGGGGGCGATGGAAAGAGTCACTTACTTATTGTATAATCTTTTGCGCGCGCTCTCTCTCTCTCTCTCTCTCTCTCTCTCTCTCTCTCTCTCTCTCTCTTTCTCTCTCTCTCTCTCTGGAGACTTCCTATCTACGTTTCAACTGAAGCACACTGGAAATGACTGCTAATGACACCTATCAGTCCTTGTCTTTTGTTTTCTTAATCATACATGGGTTTTAGATTTCCACATCAGACAGCTGCTCAGGGCCACCTTTTCTGTACAGCCAAAGACAAAGGTGTCTCCTTTCTCATCATACTGGCTGCATTCCTTTTCAGTTCTCTATCAGCTCTCTTTACCTGATCCTTCACCTCTTTGGCACAAATTCCCAAGATGCTTTCTCTGATGGACACAGCTGTCTCTACTAATTTTACAGTCCCGATTCATACATAACTAAGGTACTTACAATTGTATTACATAAGAGCTTTTCAATTTTAGACGTTAAATGCTTGCACGATCAAAACAATAGCCTCATAGACCAATGGAACAGAATTAAGAATCCAGAAACAAACCTACATGTGTTATGGGCAACCAATTTTCAACAAAAAAGCCAAAAACACACAATGGAGAAAATAAATAAGCGGTGCTGGGAAAATTAAAAGGCCACATGCAAAAGAATGAAACTGGACTGCTATCTGTCACCATACACAAAAACTAACTCAAAATGGATCAAAGTCATAAGTATTAGATCCCATGAAAAAATAAAATACATAGGGGGAAAAAATATATGTAGTAAACTTATAGATCTTAGTGTCATAGAGGACTTTATAAAACTACCGTAACACCCAGCAATTCTCCTTCTGGGCATTTATTCAAAGAAAATGAAAACACATTTGAAAGCTATATGCATCCCTATGTTCACTTCAGTGTTTTTTATCATCGCCAAACCATGGAAACAACCTAGGTTTGTGTGGATAAAGAAATGTGATACACTCACTGGAATATTAGCCATTAAAAAGAATAAAATCTTACCATCTGTGACAACATGGATATTATGCTAAGTGAAATATACAGAGAAAGACAAAAACTACTGTCTTACTAAACTACAGTAGAAAAAAAAATTCTAACTCCAGACTTCCTTCAGAATCAATTCTTGCTGAAATTTTCATCTTTCTGGCCTGCCCTACAAATCTTAGATTTGTCCATTACTTTTTTTAAAAAATTCCTCTCCCTCTCTACCTATGTATGTAGATTCTATGCTTATTTCTGCCCATCTGGGCAGTAAAGTCTGAGGGTGTGGAGAAAAGGAAGAGGGAGAAACAGGCTCACACATTTCACCAAAGATTAGAGAGGGTCAATTTGGGGGGGAGAGGGGGGAGAGGAGTGGCATTTGCAACATTTTTAACAATAAAGATTTAAAATTTTTAAATTTTTAAATTCCTCATGGTGATAACACAGTTACCTCAAGTATGTTATGGTAATTTATTAAACAACTGCTTTAGAAGTACAACATAGCTACATGAGGAGAATATATAAGAAGAAACTGAGGCAATCTAGTACAAGGCTTGCTTAGTAATATGTGGAAAACGTGTTATGGGTTGAAAATTCATACCATAAAATTATTGTACTAAATAAGACATCAACAGAAATATAGAAATATTCTAATAATTGAATGCCAGGAAATATCAAAATGGTACCTACTTGTTACAAAAAACTTTTTTGTGAAAGTACAGCTATCAAAGGCAGCAATTTTCTCCTGCAAGACTACAACAAGGATCCTAAAATTAGAAAGAAAGAAAAAAAATTTTAATGTGAGTGTGAAAGTCTATAGAATCATAAAGATGTTAAATCATCTAGATTTAAACAAGTATCCATCTTTAAAACTTTAAAAAAAACAAGCATTTCTTATATAATTTAGGCTAGAAATATATGCCTCATAAAAGGCAAAAATATAACCATAAAACCCTTAATAATCAAGATAGACATTACAGGAATAAAAGTGACAGAGAACCAACCACATCTCAAAAAAATTTTTCCTCTGAACAAAATTTTGTCTCCACTCATTATAAATCAAATAAATCTACATTCATTAAGAATGTAGAATATCAACAAATTGCTGACTATTTACTAAAAGTGTTTTTTCCACTTCTGGCTCAAAGTCATGGAATTGAACATAAAATGGATTTATCTAATTTGTCACTTAAAATTATTGCTGAATTTCTCAACACAAAAGAAAAAGAAAAAAAAACCTCAGACAACTATTATTCAGTGCAAATGAGTCATTTCTGATTGGCTCAATATATTAAAAGTTAATCAGATTCTGCCGAAACCGGTTTGGCTCAGTGGTAGAGCGTCAGTCTGCGGACTGAAAGGTCCCAGGTTCGATTCCGGTCAAGGGCATGTACATTGGTTGCGGGCACATCCCTGGTAAGGGGTGTGCAATAGGCAGCTGGTCGATGTCTCTCACTTATCGACGTTTCTAGCTCTCTATCTCTCTCCCTTCCTCTCTGTAAAAAAATCAATAAAATATTTTTTTTTAAAAGTTAATCAGATTCAGTATAAACTATAAGTTCTCCCAGAGATTTACAAATAATTAGGAAAATAATTTAGTGATAAATTTTCTTAAACTGAAATTCCTAAAATACAACCCAAATAAAGTTATATTATAAACTACATTTTAGAACTGTTCCTTGCAAAGACATTAAACAGGCAAATTTCAAAGTATTTAAAAATCAAATAAAGATTATAATGATTGGCAAGTATTTAACATACTGGTCTTTGAATAATTTGATATATCATAGGATAATTACATTAGCCCAACAACAATGTATTCCTCCTATTTATAATAATAAAAGCATAATGCTAATTAGACCGAATGTCCTTCCAGAAGATCTTCCAAACGAAACACCTGGGATGTGGGCTACCCTTGCTGAAACTGGGGCAGCAAGGGAAGCCCACATCCCAGGTATCTGAAGGCAGCCCCAGGGAAGCCCGGGTCCCAGATGCCAGAGGGAAGCCGGTGCTGACAGCCGGGGGAAGGAAGGCCTACTCTTGCACAAATTTCATGCATCAGGCCTCTAGTTTCCTATAATTTTTGAGTTTGACATTACTGAAATTGAAATATGCATAACAATTAGACCTTCAATATGAATTGTATACTATCACTGAGTTTTTCTTTGCCTGTTTATCACTATGTCTACCCTTCCTACTATGTCCAACCTTTCAGAGTCACTTTCTGAAATACTCCTTTAAAATCTAACCTGAATCTTTTATTATAAAATTTACTTTATATTGACATAGCACAAAATATCTCATTTTCCATGTTCTGTGTGTTTGCTTTATAATGCAATGGAAGAATTGTACTTTGCACCCTTGAACTTGATCAAGACATTTACAATGTTTCAGTTAATGCAAATGTAAAAGGTAAAGTGTTGAATAACAGACGATTCATAGGGTCCCTTTCTCCTTCAATGTTTTCATTATTACCAGGTCAGGCAAAAGATCAACCCAGATCTAAAAATTTTCCTAGAGAATTTAACAAAACAGATGTTAATGAAAGGAAGCATTAGCTCAATTGTAGTCTTAAGGAATGAGGAAAAAAATCTTTTTTGCAGTTCACAGTTCTAAAAGGAAAACACATTTCATATCATAAACCAATAAATACAGAAGTACATACATCATAAATACTAAAAAGTTAAGTAATGCATATAAAATCATTTCAAATAACCTTGGTATGTTTGCTCAGATATGTTCTACTCTTTTCCATTTCATTTTTAAAACACTGGTTATAATTCACTAAATTTAATCCAAAATCCACTAATGAGTCAAGACTAAAAATTTGAAAACATTTGTTAAGAAATCTTCAGGGCTACTCCATTTAGCAGAATTCAAAAGGTGTTTTTTGCAATTAAAAAAAAATCATAGGTAGTCAATTATATTGGCAGGGTTCCACATGACCAGGAGATATGCTACTTTGTAAAAGAAATACATGAAAAAATTCTTACCGCTTATTGCAATGAAGATCATAGATAGGAGTTTTAAACTGAATGGACTTGACCATTTCCCCAGTACGAAGTGAATACAAATCCACACAACAATAAGGTGGGCTAGTGCTAAAAAGAAAGAAAAAAGACAAATGCCATTAGTTTTCATAAGGTAGGTTGGCCAGTAAACTCTATATTTTCTGGGTGAAAAGGTGAAGAGCTTGAGAAATACAGATTCGTAGTGACAAAATAGTCATGAAAATGTAAAGTATATCAAAGGAAGTATAGTCTATAATATTGTAATGTCTATGTATAGAGCCATGTGAGTACTAGAAATATCAGGGAAACATTTTTTTTTTAAAATATATTTTATTGAGTTTTTACAGAATGGAAGAGAGAGGGATAGAGAGTTAGAAACATCGATGAGAAAGCACACCCCCTACTGGGAATGTGCCCGTAACCAAGGTACAAACCCTTGACTGGAATCGAACCTGGGACCTTTCAGTCCGCAGTCCGATGCTCTATCCACTGAGCCAAACCAGTTTCGGCAGGGAAACACTTTGTAAAGTACATGGGTGTCTAGCCACTATGCCATAGACCTAAAACCAATATAAAATAATACTGAATGTAAACTGTAAATGAAAAAAATTTTAATTCAAAAAAATGTTAGTGAGAATGTGGAGAAAAGAGAACCTTTTTGCACTGTTGATGGGAATGGGAACTGGTGCAGCCACTATGGAAAACAGTATGATGGTTCCTCAAAAAAATTGTAATTTGCCCAGTTTGGCTCAGTGGATAGAGCATCAGCCTGCAGACTGATGGGTCCCAGGTCAATTCTGGTCAAGGGCACATGCTCGGGTTGTGGGCTAAATCCCCAGTGGGGGTGCATGCAGGAGTCAGCCAATCAATGATTCTCTCATATCATTGATGTTTCTACCTCTCCCTTCCTCTATGAAATCAATAAAAAATTGTAATTTGTTATTCATAACAAAAACAGTTAAATGTTGATGGAATGTTTCTAGAGTATTACTCAGCAATTTAAAACAACAAATTATCCATACAATAGAGATGAACCTCACACATTATGAACTATAAAAAAGGGGGGGGGGAGGAGGGAAAAGGCAAGACATAAAAGTTTACATACTGTGTGAGTCCCTTCCAATGAAAAACTAGAAAGGCAAAACTATAATAGGAAGCATATCAGTGGTTGCCAGCGACAAGGGAAGGAGGGGAACTATATAGAATAAAATGGCATGAGAAATTTTGGGGGAGTGGTGGCAATATTGTTGTGTCGTGATTATATTGGGTATTCACACAACTGTATACAATTGGCAAAACTGGGTCAGGGAGGGGAAAATATAGTAAAACTTTAACTTCAATCTCTAAAATTAACACAAGGCAAAAATTCTTCTCTTGATGTTCCCAATAATTAAACCAATCCTCTGCTGAGAAGCAATGAGTTAATAATAAATGAAATTTAACATTTTGCCCGACCAACTGGGTAGTTAAAAGCAGCTTGTCACATTTAATTAGCACTCACTACAGCTACTGGTGCACAGAAACTTGAATTCTGATCATTTCACTGGCATAATACACTGTCACAACTGAGATTGTTCCTGCAGAAAGCCTCCCCTAGAGGTAGACAAAATAAATGCAATGAAGGCTGTTTATAGAGTTGATTTAATAAGACATGATAGGACTAAAAATTCTATTGGTATGTGCAAAACCCTACTTATTCAATGCCTAATAGAATAAAGATAACTCTTTAAGAGTTTTCAGAAAGTCACACATTCTGTCAATAACGTGACTGTGTATATGCTTGTTCTCTACTTTCTCTCTTTTCAAAAGCTTTGACCATTTCCCTGGGACACAGTTCAAGACAATCTTAATTTTCCTCATGGGTAAGCTGACAAGAAAGCTCTCCATAACATCAGCAGTAAGCATGCCCCATAACAGGAAGGGCGTGTGTTATACTGAAGCATGCAGATATGACATACAAAGCTTTTACTTAGTACTCTCGTATACCCTAAACAGTGCCCAAGAAAATCAGATAATTAAAGTTAAATATCAGCAGAATGAAAATAAAGAAAATTAAAACAGCTTATGGTAATACTGTAAATCAATTAAGCTTAACCAACTTACATAAGACTCCACCCAACAAAAGCAGAATACTCTTTCTTTTGAAGTGCCCACAATTATATTTAAGCATGGGCACTTGTGATCTATTCCATTATATCACACTTCGAAAATCTATCTATCTAGTTAAAAGTCTTCCTAAACCATATATTTTTGATCACTTATTCTGGTTTCAGAACCTATCAATGACACCCGCCCTAGCTGGTTTGGCTCAGTGGATAATGCGTCAGCCTATGGACTGAAGGGTCCCAAGTTCGATTCCAATCACGGGCATATGCCTGGTTGTGAGCTTGATCTCCGGTAAGGGGTGTGCAGGAGGAAACTAATCACTGATTCTCTCTCATCATTGATGTCTCTCTCTCTCTCTCTCTCTCTCTCTCTCTCTCTCTCTCTCTCTCTCTCTCTCTTTCTCTCTCTCTCTCTCTCCCCGCACTCTAAATCAATAAAAGTATTTTTTAAATGACACACCATTGCCACAGAATAAACATTATCCTTTTATCTAAGCAAATAAAGCCCCATAATATGAAAATTGTTTTAAATATTTTAGTGTACATTTTCTTCTTGTACTCTAGTTCATATACCATAGTGGCTTTTTTTAAAAAGGGACAGAGAGACAGAAACTTCGATGAGAGAGGAACATCGTCAATCAGCTGCCTCCAGTATGCCCTCACCAGGGATTAGGCCTACAACCTGGGAATGTGCCCTAAAACTCAAAGGGAATCCAATCGTCAACCTCCTGGTTTCTGGTCAGTGCTCAACTGCTGAACCACATTGGCCAGGCCATTAGTGACTTTTCTACTCATGGTCCTCTATTTCACCCCCATCTCCAGACATCTAATGATTCTCATCATTCAAGTTTCTATTTCCCTCTCCTCTCTTTCTCTCTGAAATCAATAAAAGTATTTTTTTTAAATGGATTCTCTTCCAATCAAGCCTTGAAAGCATTCTTATAAGACCCTAAACTCAGGACCCAGTTTGTCCTTCTGCCATTGTACTACTTCAAAATAACATCGGTTGCCTTTAAATTTCAGCATTGAAACTGAAGTTATAATTTACTGTTTATATTTTAATCTATCTAATTAATTTCTTTACATAAAGTAGTATATGGGCAATTACATTAAACTAATACACTTTTACATAAATTTTAAAAATTTTTATCAATATAAACTATTCTGAGACAAATCTCAGAGGGTGTCTGTTTCTTCAGTTCTTCTAATTTACTTTTTTAAAGCAACAGAGACAGTTTACAAAATAATAAAGCTGGGAAAACTATTGAACATCAAATATTTTAAATTAAAAAAAGTTATTTTAATCTTCATAAGTTATATCAGTAATTTGTCCTTAATTTGTTATACCGTTAAAGGTTTGACCTAATGTACATAACCACATCATTTGGTTAAGTGATCATCAGAATTCTCAATCCATTACTTCAGAATTCTTTTATATACAAATAATACTATACATGTTGTAAACATGAGGAAATATTCTGACAGTCTGTTTCAGATCTAACAATTACTACTTTAAAAAAGTCAACAATACAATGAGGTCAAGACAAATGAACCACTTAAAGGACTCTGAATTGGAACTGAAATTAAGCTTTTTAAATATGTACAGCTAAATACTGATGCTGAAGTACATCTTTTCATGTTAGAATTAATAATCCCTTTTCTATGTCAAAAACTAGATTATTAAATTCTAAAAAATAATAAATGACCCAGGTATCTTGAGCCTTTTGTGAGGAGTTAGTATAATGTTGAATACTTTTTTTTTAATATAGATTTTATTGATTTTTTACAAAGAGGAAAGGAGAGAGACAGAGAGCAAGAAACATCAATGAGAGAGAAACATCGACCAGCTGGTTCTTGCATACCCCTTACAGGGGTTGTGCCCACAACCAATGCACATGTCCTTGACCGGAATCGAACCTGGGACCTTTCAGTCTGCAGACTCTACCACTGAGCCAAACTGGTTTCGGCAATGTTGAATACTTTTGCATTATTTGTGTATAAAGAAATGATGATGGATCTTATGCTCTATTTTTGAAATGTAAATACGACCTAAAAACAGTATATTTGCTAATTTTTTTATGCTATATGGGGGGAAAGAAGTTACAAAAAATACAATATTAAACTCCTATACTCAAATTTATAAATATCTAAAATATTTCAATTTCTAATCTCAGTCTAATTTTAATTTTTATAATAATATGCTTTTTTAAAAACCTTTTTTATAATATGATTTTATTTATTTTTAGATAGAAAGGGGGAGTGAGAAAGAAGCACCAATCAACCTCTTCCTGCATGCCCACATACTAAGAACCTAGGCATGCCCCTGACGAGAAATTGAACTGGTGACCTCTTAGTGCATGGGATGATGCTCAATCCATTGAGCCACACCAGGTGGGTAATAATAATATGCTTTTTGCTTTATATTAATATAATTTATTAGAATCATAGCCATTTCCTTTCCTGGACAATGTTTTCAAAATAATATTCTTTGTAATGCAATACAATGAGCATCACCTTAAAGCAATGTGAAATATGGCTTTTATGATTTGAAAATTCTAAACATTAATACCGTTTTCCTTTACAAACACTTTTATTATTTTTATTCATGATATTTAACAGATTGAAACAAAATTAGAAAAGCGGAACAAAGTATCTGAGAAAGTGACATTTTCCAAGAATGTGCATGTATAAGTGAAACACAAAATAGCAAAGACATCTTAAATCTACCACAAATTGCAAGAAGCATGGAAACACTTATTTTTAAATGGGAAAAAGCTGCACAACCTTCAACATGTGTTACTGAATCTAATCCTTTAAATATAAGAGGAAAGTTTTTGATAGAATTACATTATTTGTATTCTTATTCAGTTCCTAAAGAACAAAAGCCACTTGGTTGCATGTTTTATTAAGTAATTAAAAAGAAAATGGAAACTTAACCATATTAAAAGCTAAGTTTGTGATTATCCTACTTAATATTTTTCTTCA